GAAAGTTAAATGACTTACCAAAAGTCACAGAGCCATCAATATTGGGAGATGCCATTCAAACTCAAATATACCTTTAAAAAAGTATTTCTACAATGTATTGTCTCTCACAGAAAAAGTCAGAAGAGTATTATCTAGTAGAAATATAATGCAAACCACATATGTAATTTCAAATTTTCTATTAGCCCCATTAATAATAATAAAAAGAGGCTGGGTGTGGTGGTTCATGCCTGTAATCTCAACACTTTGGGGTTAATGAGGTAGGAGGATGGCTTAAGCCCAAGAGTTATAGACCAGCCTGGGCAAGATGGTGAGACTCCCCGTTTCTACAAAAATAATAATTAAAAGAAACAGGTAAAATTAATTTCAATAATATATTTTATTTAACCCCATGTTTCTACATTACTGCTTCAATATGTTTCAGTATAGTTAATGTAATATTTTATGCTCTTTGGTAAGTGTATGCATGCTCTTTGAAATCCAGTATCTATTTTACACTTACAGTACAACTTAATTCAGACTGGGCACATGTTAGGTGCTTAATAGCTCCATGTGGCTACTGGCTACTTTACTGAACAACACTGGTCTAGAATGCCTCGCATATTAATCTTTTAAAATACAAACTGGCAAGTCACTACAGGAATCATTTAATAGAGACAATGAATTCAATGTTAATTTACCTAAACTTCTGCTGAAGACAGATAAAAAAGAAAACTGCATATTGTTATAATCAAAGTTAACAGTTTTAGGGAGGCCCAATTCTGCCAAACTGACCCATCACCTATTAACTCTAAGAATTTATAAAGTTGACCCTTGAATAATGTGAGGAGTTAAGAGTGTCTATCCCCTACACAGTCAAAATTCCATGTCAACTTTTGACTTTCCAAAAACTTAACTACTATTACCCTAACTATTGGTCGGACACTTTACTGATAACATAAACAGTGGATTAATATACATTTTGCATGTATCATATATTGCATTCGTGCAATAAACTAGAAAAAAGAAAACGTTATTACAAAATCATAAGGAAGAAAAATATGTTTACGTTCATTAAGTGGAAATGGATCACTATAAAGGTCTTCATCCTTTTCAGGAGCAGGAGAAAGAGGAGGCATTGGTTTTGCTCTCTCAGGGGTGGCACGGGCAGAAAACAAAAAATTCTTGTATAAGTGGAAACGCACAGTTCAAACCCTTATTCAATGGTCAACTGCAATGTCAACTGGGCACAAACTAGGGAATACACGTAATACTTGCAACAGTTGTACGAAGAAGCCCTCAGAAAACATCTACATTATTTGAAACCAAAGATCTTTTAAGTTGGAGGAGAAGGGATGCTTTTATTTTAACGAATGGGGGTATGTAAAACAGAACAGTGTAACTTTAACTACAGGCCAGAATTAATTTGCCAAACATAAATAACTCAAACATACATAATTTCTATTGGAATGAATGACTCGAAAATTTTACACCAAACTTAATATGATGATCTATTAAGAAGGTAGCATTAAAAAAAGAAAAGAAAAGAAAAAGTCTAAAACCAAGTTAGATAATTTGCCCCTAACAATTTTGGACAGAAAAAAAAGTGATAGGCAAAACTTAAAAATATACAAAAGATTTTAGAGATTATCCATGAATTTAAATCTTGACCCACTCAAACAAGTGAAAAATAAACATAACTAAAAAATGAAGTAATATTGTACCATTTACAATTTGTAATGACTCAAAATATTCATATTCCCACTTTTCCAGTCAGTCATAAGCTCAAAATCAAAAGTTTTTTTCAGGTAATAGATTCAAGCAAATGATTATCTTTCATCAAAGGAAAAGATGAGATTATAACATCAATATAGATACACATAAAAACAAAGACAAATATCAATTATAAATATTTGAAGACTTCCTGCATTTTTCTAATTATTAACAGCTAATATTTAATAAAATTTTTGCCATTTCTTCAAAATATACAAAACAGGAAATGTTCTACATGAAAGTACTCAGTGACAGAAAGAAAAAATATTTGAAATGTTCCAACTTTTGCTATACAACTCTATATATATACACACACATAAAAGGAGTAGATAAATCAGGTGTGAGTTAGCAGATACATTTTAGTATTTTTTATGAACTCCCAAATTAAAAGATGTAACTAAATGCCCTAATATTTCCATTTTTAGCCCTCATCATCACCTGCTAAAAATTAGCTAAGAAAAAGCATAGGTCATACTTGGAAACTTCAGACAAAACTCACTGCAACTAAATGGCGTCTGATACTTTAAAGAATCATTTCCCTATGCTGGGCGCGGTGGCTCAAGTCTGTAATCCCAGCACTTTGGGAGGCAGAGGCGGGTGGATCACGAAGTCAAGAGATCGAGACCATCCTGGTCAACAAGGTGAAACCTTGTCTCTACTAAAAATACAAAAATTAGCTGGGCATGATGGTGCATGCCTGTAGTCCCAGCTACTCGGGAGGCTGAGGCCGGAGAATTGCTTGAACCCAGGAGGCGGAGGTTGCGGTGAGCCGAGATCATGCCATTGCACTCCAGCCTGGGCAACAACAGCGAAACTCCGTCTCAAAAAAAAAAAAAAAAAAAAAAGAATCATTTCCCTTTAAAAACGTTACTATGTGGCAATCTACTTACTGACCTCACAATCTTTATACTAGCTTTCAATTTTTCTCAAAACAACAACAAAAAAGTGGGCTTTGCATTTTATTTCAAAACATGAGATGTAAAAGTGGACAAATCTTTTAATAATATCAAACACAGATGTTTCTTAGCCAGCAACCATTTCATAAATAAGAAAGGCTCTTTGGCAAATTATCCGTGTGACCTTGGTCAAGTCATAACACCTCCAGTGTTTTGTTATCTCATCCTACTTTATAATTTTACGTTCTAAATGCTTTAATTAGCAGTCAGTTAACAACCATTTTGGATACCATGAAAACTAAAGATGTTCATAAGTAAACACAGGTGGTTGTAGTCAAATGTTAAATAAATTGGTTTCCATACCCAAAAAGATTGTTCCCAATCTAGCCTGTTGTTTTCACAAATTCAGACTCCTCAGGCACAAGGGAACCAGGTAAGAGAATGGAAAAGCTCAGTACCTTCTATTACGAACATCGAAGAAAAATACGCATTCGAATTCCCAACTGACAGTGTTGTTAGACGCTTCATGCTAGTCTATGGCTAGCACATAAAATAATATTCTTTAAACAGATAGATATTGTGAAAACAAAAAATTTAATATTCTTTTCTTCTAACTCAAAATATCGTTTTGGATCCTTTTAAAAAAATGTCTGTTTGGTGGAGACTGAAACAAAACACTTTGTAAGGGGACATCTCCTTTACAAAACAGTTAATTGTTTTTTCTTCCTCTTGTCTCAAGGCCAGCTATTTGGACAAAGTTTTCCTGATGATTATAATTCTACCCAGTTCTGAACAACCATGGAAGAAAAAAAAATTAAATGTACTTCCATTCTGCCCACAGCATACACTGGCCTATTTGAGACACAAATTGTAAATGAAACATTGGGCCGAACAACATCCTCCACTTTAAGATATACATGGCACCAAAACAAACACATCCAAAATCTATTTTTAGAGTGGCATTCACTCTTCCAGTTTTCTCTTTAAAATGAGATTTACTTGACCTATTTTCACGTGTTTTTAGGGCACCCAGACAGTCCACACAAACAATATCTGCTAGTGATAAAACAGCAAAGGCAAAATCACAAATCCTGTTATTTGTGTGGGACATTTTCTCCATGTGTCCTTACGTGCCATGTCTTAAAAGTCTAAATATAGATTAACTGACTAAAATGTCCTAAGTCTTCCAATTTTATAATTATACACTGCATTGAATGCCAATATTATATGTTCACATCCCATTTGAAAAGTACACACACGGGGTGGGGGTGATGTGCCCAGCACCTGAAATGTCAATCATACAAAGAACAAAGCGTTCCCCATCATCTTTTGGCTTTCTTCTCTCCTCAGTTGTACAGTTTCAATATTACGAAAATATTAAAATGTTCAAAACTTGAGAAATAAGTGCTCACTAAAATGGCACTTAAAGAAATTAAAACGTATGCCAAAATGATTAACGAGAAAAGATTCTAGTTGCCAGGATGTGTGTGTAAACTTACAGTCCTGTGAAGAGGACGGTTCCATCTCCACATTCTTAAAAATAATTTTACATTCTTTAGAAGCCTTCGCAAAATAAACAGCGACAACAATGGGAGACTCACACTCCTTCAGACGGGATGGAGGGTAGGAAGAGAACTCCCCACCCAACAACCAGAACAAAGCAACAGCCTCGGCTTTTAAGATGCACAGAGGGTTTGGAGGCTCAAGGGACATTCTGAGATCTCTTAATTGTTCCGATGCTTCAACAGCCGGTCAAAACAACTAAGAATATGCAGCGCGGGGCTTCACTAGGACAAGGTGCAGGACTGCTCTCTTCGTATTAGGCAAGACCGAGACACTGAGCAGGAAGAGAAAAAGGAGGAAGAGAGAGAGCAAAGAAAGCAGCAGCTAGAGACACTCCGGGAAAACACAAAATGCAGACTGTACGCCCTGGCTTCGATCTGACCCAAGGCCCAAAGTGTCTGACCCCACACGGCAAACAGGGAGCAGGCTACTGCCAAAAAACCATCGCCGCCCCTACACGTCGAGGCCAGAAGGTCCCCGCGTAGAGGCCTGACACCACGGCCCAGGGGGAGGAGAGGGACCCGCCTGCCACCCGAGGCACCGACGCGGGCTCCGGCGGAAGAGGCTGCGCAGTAATGGCCGCTGCTCCGCCCCTCGCACCCCGACCGAGACCAGCTCCGGCCGTCACCCAGCGCAGGGTCTGCGGCGCCCTCGGGCAGCGCAGGGGCTGTCACGGTCGTCTAGCCTGCGACAGCAGCCAAGGCGGGGGTGGCGAAAAGGGCTGAGCTGTCCCATCCCGCCTCTGCGCGGGCAGCCGGGGCCGCGCCAGCCCAAGGGCGTCCATCTACGTACCGGCCCCTGACCCCGCCGCCGCCCCTCTCAGGCCCCGAGCGCAAGGCCAACCCGGAGTACGTCGCGGCTGGAGGTGACACCGCGAGCTATGCTTCCTCTCCCCCAGTGAGGGTCCTGGCGTGGCCGGCGTTCACCCTGCTCCCCCGAGAGGGCCTCGCTCCGACTGCCACCTCTCCGGCCACAGCCGCGGCCACCTCGCAGTCTTTTTCTCTCCGGCCTCGGAGCCCGCAGCGGCCGGGGACGCGCGCGGCCGTCACGTGACCACCCGGCGCGTCGCGGGGGCGGGGCCGCGCGGGGCGGAAGCCGCGCCGCGCACCCGCCGGCTCGCTCCGGCGCGTCTTCGTTCCGTCCCGGTTTCGTGCAGCTGCCTGCCCGCACTCTACTGCCTGTGGGGACCCGCGACTTCGCTGCTTGGATTCTTCTGGCTGCCTTAGAGTGCACTTTGTTTGTATTAGGGTCGAGAGGCTCTGAAAGAATGCAGGTCCAGCATACAGATTGGGGATGGAGGAAGTAAAACGCGTGTAGGAACGGCAGGTGGTGCTGCTCAGAAATCCAGTTTTGCGATCCGGAGGAAGCCCTGGGGTGCCTAGCCGAGTTTCGGCGTGAAGATCCCCTGGCAAAAGAACTGCTTGTTCCCTTTCAAGAAAAAAAAAAAGGGTGGTGGGGGGCGGACCGAGGGGAGAGAGTACTCTAGGACTTTCTAATTTATTCACCTTTTTAATGGTTGAGCAATCTAATCGGGAAAAAAATGGGCATTACTTTCCCTTTGAACCCCTCCTTTTTTAAAAAACAGAATAGTGCCTGAAAAACTGGTGAAAGAAATTAATCTGCATGAGAATCTAAAATTAAAGGGGTTATTTTGATCGCAAGCCTGTGGTTTTAAACATCGGAACTCTAGCAGTATTCACTATTTTAGCATGTACATTTCCTTTTTCAGAACTGATTAAATTTTCCTAATTTGTAGGAAAATGAAGAGGGTGGAAGAGCAGACCTTTTATCTTTAAAAGAGTATGTATTTCAACATTCTATGACAGTGTCTTATTTGCAATAGTGTTGCGTTTTGGGATTTCATTAAATGTTTCCTTCAGGATGGGAAGTTTTCAGTGTCCTTATATGTATAGAAATTTATATGTTTTTTGTTATTCCTCTGAAATCAATTTATTTCAGGGTTCTCATTCTCATACCTCAGTATGTAAACCAGTCTCTTGAAGGGTGCCATCTAGTTCAGTGATGCTTGCTCATGTATGCAAAACTGTTTTTCTTATAAGTTCTATACATATAGAAATATTGAAGTGTATGTCCTTTAAGCTTAGTTTTCTATCTTATTAGCCATTCAGTTTTATCCCTCTATCCTACACAGCCCATGAACACAGAATAGCTAAAATTTGATATGTACTCGAAGATTCCAACTTGAAGAAATAATGCTAATATTAATTAACCATGTGCCAGCTGTTGCTTTTAAGTGCTACTCATTTTACAGAAAGAAGCACACAACTGAGATTTGAATCCAGGCACAGACAGTGAGATGTCAACTAGTTCAACCGTTTCTCACTCATACCCAAGGTCTTTGTATTTAAGAAAATGGCTGCATCTTTCCTTGTTCAAACCCATCTTTAATTCCTTTCTTTTATGTCTCATATGCATGTGGCATGTAACCGTTGGCTCTTCCTTCAAAGTATATTCAGAATCCAACTACTTACCACCTCCACTACAATCTACATCTTCTCTTGTTTGAATTATAGTATTACGGTAGACCAAGAACTAGTCTTTTCTTTGAGTCTGTTCTCAATACAGAAGCCAAAATAAATCTATTTAAAAAGAAGTGAGATCATACCACTCTTTTGCTCAAAGTCTCCTATGGTTTCCCAACACAAAGTAAAAACCAAACCCTTACAATGGCTTTAAAATCCTCCCCTCATTACCTCTTTGACCCCACAGACTGTTTACTCAGCTTTGTATTCCCAGAAAGCTCTCCACAAGCTCTCAACCTCATAGTCTTTGCAGTTGCTGTTTCCTCTGCTTTAGAACACTTCCTCCGTCTCAGACGTTCAATTCTTCAGTCGGTCCTCTACTTGTCACCATATTTTAAATCATGATGTTTCCTATTCCCAATATTTCATATTTCCTTCTTTACTTTTGCATACTTGTAATGGATGAGTTATTATTAATCTTCATCATATTTCTCTTTACATTAGAACACAAGACTCAGGAGGCAAGGAATTTGTGTTCTATTTTGTATCTCAACTTCCAGGAATAGTGCCTGACACATTTAAAGAGGTTCTTTGTAAATATGTGTTGCATGAATGAGTAAATGAATGAATGAATGAACACGCATAGCCAGGTGCGGTGGCTCACACCTATAATCCCAGCACCTTAGGGGGCCAAGATGGGCAGATTAGGAGGTCAGGAGATCAAGACCATCTGGCTAACACGGTGAAACCCTGTCTCTACTAAAAATACAAAAAAAAAAAAAAAAAAAAAAGTTATCTGGGCATGGTGGCATGCACCTGTAATCCCAGCTACTCGGGAGGCTGAGTCAGGAGAATTGCTTGAACTCAAGAGGCAGAGGTTGCAGTGAGCCGAGATTACACCATTGTACTCTAGCTTGGGCGACAGAGTGAGTCCCCATCTCAAAAAAACAAAAACAAAACACACATTGTATATGTGAGTGTATATATACACACACGTGCACATTTATATATATGAATACAAGTGAATTTATTATTTTTCAGTAGTTGCATATGAAGAACAGAATTGAATGTATGAAATACTATACACTCTGCCTCCATCAGCCATTGGAAAGAAATTGAGTAGTTTATGTCTTTGAGTAATATGGGATAGCACCTCTCAACATTGTCAGAGTGCTGGCTTCCAGTAATTAACTAATTTCCAGTAATTTTAAGTACCAAAACTTCAAATTATTTGCTTAAAGAAATAGAGCCTAACAGATTAAATAAATTTTTGCAATAATGTTACTGTCACTAGGATTCTATTTTGCTTCTTTGAATCAGAGGTAAAGAAGTTGCAGCAGACTGCTAGAAATTACCCAATGCTCATTGTCTGTTTCCCACAACTTATAAAATACTTTCATGAATACCACACATCTCCAGGCACCTACTCTCCATATATCCTTCCAACACTCAAAATAGTCCAATGTTATTTGTTTTACTTAAAGATCAAAGCATTTTTTTTGTTTACTTAATATCTGAGGGCATCCATGAAAATGCATGAGAAAATTATGTGTTACTGTAGAATGTATGTTGAAACCACTGATGTAGCTAGCCGAGGGCATTGCTGCTCAAAGTGTTATCTGGTGACCCGTGGGGGTCCTGTGACCCTTGCAGAGTGAGGGAAACTTGTTTTTATAATAATACGAAACTGTAGTTACTTGGTTTATTTGCACTCTTTCAAATGTACAGTGGACTTTTCCAGAAACTGTATGATACGTAATGTAGCAATAGATTGATTATAGAAGCAGATATGAGAATTTGGCTATATCTATTAACCAGGCGTTAAAAAGATATAAAAAAAAAAAAAAGAAAAAGAAAAATGTAAAATTGCACTTTTCTCTCATTCAGTTAGCTTTGTTTTAGAACATGTACCAGTTTTGTTGTTGTTGTTGTTTGTTGTTGTTGTTGTTTTGTTTGAGACAGAGTTTTGCTCTTGTTGTTTGGGCTGGAGTGTAATGGTACAATCTCAGCTCACCACAACCTCCACCTCCCGGGTTCAAGTGATTCTCCTGCCTCAGCCTCCTGAGTAGCTGAGATTACAGGCGCGTGCCACCATGTCCAGCTAATTTTGTTGTTGTTTTTTTTTTTTTGTATTTTTAGTAGAGATGGGGTTTCACCATGTTGACCAGGCTGTTCTTGAACTCCTGACCTCAGGTGATTTGCCTGCCTCAGCCTCCCAAAGTGGTGGGATTACAGGCGTAAGCCACTGTGCCTGGCCATGTAGTTATTTTTTATAAAGCATGTTAATACTTAATGGGTCTGTTATTTAGTATATATTGTAGTAAACCATTCTCAGTGTCAACTTCTAATTTGGTAAATATTGATTAACTCATAAACAAAAGTTATTTGGGGTCTTCTATAACTGTTAACACTGTAAAAGGGTCCTGAGACGAAAAAGATTGAGAATGCTTGTGTGGGGCTACTTTGCTTGCCACCTTTAAGTTAGATTTCTTCCCTTTTTACATGCCAGCTATGGGCACAACTTTCTCATATTTCTGGAAACAACCAGCAAGATTCAGGAATGTACCAGTCATTATAGCTAGCAGATGAATGGAAATCAAAGCAAGAGGAAGTTTTGGAAATAAACTTTTTAAAAATTTTAGTTAAAAATTTTGCTTCCAGAACTGATACATAGGTTGGTCTCTGCCCTACCATTTGACATTCTACTTACAATAATCAAACAGTGTGTTATTTTCTAGTAGAACTCCTTTGTAATTAATAGTATACTAGCCAGATTAGCTTGTGTTTTGCTTTTACCGAATGCGATTGTCAGTGCTTTCTCTTCTAATGGTTCTTAATGTTCCTGCTTTGACCACAGACATTACAACTGAAATAGGACAATGTATGGCCAGAAAATAGCCCAACAGTCACTGAGACAAACTTTGTGGTTTGGTTATAAAGTGGAACATGCATTTATTTCCTAACCTGGTTGTATGTATATAATATGTATTTATTAATTTTTAGATGTCTTATATTGACAGTAGTAGCTTAGATATCTCCAAAGTCTGTACTTGTTTCATTAAATGACATAACCTTTCATTGAGCATAGTATTGAAAGATAAGAATAAATGCTGTATTGCCGGGCGCGGTGGCTCAAGCCTGTAATCCCAGCACTTTGGGAGGCCGAGGCGGGTGGATCACGAGGTCAAGAGATCGAGACCATCCTGGTCAAAATGGTGAAACCCCGTCTCTACTAAAAATACAAAAATTAGCTGGGCATGGTGGCGCATGCCTGTAGTCCCAGCTACTCAGGAGGCTGAGGCAGGAGAATTGCCTGAACCCAGGAGGCGGAGGTTGCGGTGAGCCGAGATCGCGCCATTGCACTCCAGCCTGGGTAACATGAGTGAAACTCCGTCTCAAAAAAATAAATAAACAAATAAATGCTGTATTTTTTTTTTAACAATGGATTTTTTTAAGCTAGATTATTATTTTAACAAAATAGTCACTTAAACATTGTACTCCATCACGTACAGGAAATTGCTTTTGGTCATGAAGGTAGCAACTGTCTTTTGCAATGTCACATTTTCCTTTAAATGGTTAGGATTTGGGATCAATATTAAATAGCTTTATAAGCATCTGTATTTAGGATTTATTTATGAAACCCTATGCATACTATATCAATTTAATATAATTAT